AAAACACATTCTAGGCGTCGCCGACGTCCTGCTCATCACCTACATATATATATATATATAGAGAGGGTGAGCTTGGATACTCAGTGAATGGTACTAGTAATAAAGGTTTTGCATGAATATAGCCGAAGTCCTTCAAAACAAAACATGCCAAAACCATACGAATATTAGCCGAGATCTTTCCAAGCAAAGCACATCAAAACTTTATCAAAGTAAGGGATGAACCGTATTCATCTTATCAAGTCTTACAAGTTCTTAAGGGATGCTTACTGACATCGGCAAAACATAAATCAAGCTTTCCGAACAACAGATCCACGCGGTAAACCGTCAGTGGCAAAACAAGGGTTGTACGATCTGTAACCGATTAGTCAAAGGTACTGCGAAAGTTTATAGTCCTCCAGCACAAGGGACTTGTGTTACTTGAGCCCGTAGCCCTTTTTAACACGATGGTCTTGTGTTACTTAGGCCCGTAGCCCGCTTTAATACAAGAGTCTTTCCAAGAAAGGACCGTATCCTTTTATGCTTAGTGCTGCGAAAGTTTAGAGTCCTCCAGCACAAGAGACTTTCATACTCAATACTGCGAAAGTTTCCAGTACAAGGGACTTTTCAAAGGTGACATCAAACCAAAGCTTATACTTGATACATCAACCAGGCTATTCATTCATGCTTAACAAATACTTTTATCAAAACAAAGCAAAGCAAGATTTAACAAAGCAGTATAACATAGCTTTATTAAAAATACCACTCACATAGATTTCCTCGGGTGTAGGCTCGAAGCAAAGATCAAGGACCTACAATCACATGGCAATCACATTCTCAAAACAAGCTTTATATGCATGCAAATGATCCCGGCATTCTCACCAGATCCAAGTCAACAACAAAGCAAAACATGCTGGGAATTTAAACACTGCTCCCGTCTCATGGAAACACCCTAGGTACCAACCAGGTCTTTGCCGAGGTCCTACACCTCCTTGCCGAGGTGTGGTCCCGATGGCCTCATTCAAAAGCAAAGTCGGGAAAACCTGGGTTTCCCTTTGAAAAACATGAAGAACAAGATCATGAGGAAAATGAATGCAAAGATCATAACTTGTTACAAAAACCAGAGATTTCATGCCATGAGTTCAAAACATGGACCTGGGTACCCATACAAGAAGGTCATGCAAGAACAAACACAAAAACATGGTTTTGGTTCCAAACTTTCGAATCAAAACGAGACTTTTCTTCAAGAACACATGAATACCATTTTTCTCTTCCAAAACCGACTTCAAATCGATGCATGACATGCAAAACAGATTCGATCATGCAATGCATCTAGATGATCAATAACAACAACCAAAGTAGATCAAGATTCTAACCTCAAAACTCGAATCCAACGGTTCAAACCTCGAAGATCAAGCTTGGAAGATCTATTCTCACTCAAGAGCTTCTCCTCTTTCTCTCTAGAGCTTCTCTCTCTAAAGGCAAAGATTTGAGACAAAATGATTTGGTTCCAGGTCTGCCAGCTGTCTTAACAATCAACTCGGACACGTGGCGCTATCGGGTTGGTTCAACTCAAAAGGTGATTGATTGATAAGACAAGTCCAAGACAAAGCGTATGCGACAAGCTGAGGCAAGACACATCGGCAAGTAACGACATCGGCTGAAGTCAAAGCTTCGGCAACAGGGTAACAAAGATCGGCAAGGGAGGACGACACTTAACTAAGCTGTGCCACACCTTGGCCGGGGTGTGCCACACCTCGGTCTAGGCCATACCTGCCCAAGGACAAGGATCACTAAGTACAAAACATCTCGACAAACAAGCCCGAGGTGAAGATGTGGGTCGACCAAGTGGTTCTAAAACAGTTCTAAGTACAAAGGTTCAAAGGTGAACTAAGCTCAAGGTGACCTCGGCTACACACCGAGCAAGGAACAAAATCACGCAAGCAATACACAAACAAAACAAGGCAAGGCAAAACTAGCAAATCAATATAACAAGACAAGTTCATGCATGAATGCATGCAAGTATGGCAAGGGTAAGGTGAGGGTTGCTACAGATGTTAGTCTCTTATTGTAGTATTGGTTGTTAGCATTGGTGGGTGGTGTGTTCTGAGTAGCTGGTATTATATTTCAGGTAGTCGTATAGCGGACGTTTCCTAAGTTCTAGGATTCCTTTATTGTATTTAGGTGCGAGAGGTGTGTACCTCAATTCTGGGTAAGTTAAGAGATGTTGTCGGAAGGGTTGGTCGGGTATATAACCCATGGTTAGTGTGTGACCTATGTGTAGGGTCACAGTGGTTTTGTGTTTATGGGTTGAGGTGGAGGTGATTGTTTTCGGAGATGGGCCGTGTTTTGGCTCACGTAGTGTTCTAGGTTGGTTGAGAGAGCAGTTGGAAATGTAGCGTTCTACGACTCGGATGGAGGAGGTTGAGAACTTCTTTTGTTCTTCTATAGAGTTAGGATGGTAAGACTTTGAAAGCCTTGTAGGTGTTGTGTGTATGTGTCGGGGCTTGGTTCAGGGTAATTGTTCAGTAAGTATCAACAGCTGGTGGATTGACTAAGAGACTTTGTATTTTGGTTGTACTCGTGTAATGAGTGACAAATAACATGTGAATTAAAGAGTTGACCTTATTGGTCACTGAGGGATAGAGGTGTTGTGTTTGCTTGTTGTTCGGTTCGGGTGGTTACGTGGTAACAATGGCGTTGTAGTGTTGTAGGCCTTTGCGAGTTGACTTAGTGCGAGAGACTAAGTATGTGAATGTTGTTATTGTGAATTCGGTCGTTATTTATTATAAATATTTATGTAAACCTTATGACTGAGTTAGTGTAACATTCTAATGTAACACACAAAAAAACTCCTGAGTGTACTTTTTTCAAACGTAACACTTCAATACAACACTCCAAAAAAATTTCTTAGTGTAGCATTTTAATATAACACGCACAAAAAAAAACTCATTGACATACTTTTTCCAAATGTAACACAATTTTGTAACATAAAAAAAATATATATATATATATATACATATATAACTTTTCTTACTATAAAAAGCATAATCTTTTACTTACCACAAAACAAAGTATTTACTTATTATTTTAGGGTCCACCCCCATAAATTTATTATTCATTACATTTTACCACAATTAGACATAACACCAACCACAAGCATTCGCAAATTTGACCATAAAAAATCAATAACTTTGGTACAATGCACATTATAGATTTTTTCATACATCATATACCATAATTCTAAGAACCTATTCACTACTGGCAACTAGAGCAACAGTTAGAGCACTTGCTGCGTTTACAACTTCATAGACAAGAACATATTCATTAATCTACTTGCTTGCTAGAATAGATTCTCTCTTTATTCTCAAAGAGAATTTTATAGAATATTAATTGTGGAAGTTGATTTTTGACTTCACAACCAAATTAGATCTCCTAATTGAGATCTAAGGAACTTAGCTATAGAACACACGGAAGAATTGATTAATCCCAGCACCTGCACATAAGAAGACAATAAATACCACGGTGGCTCATCCACTCAGGAGTAATCCAACGATCAAGTCAGTCAACTTATGTCTCAAAGATAACAACTCAAGGAAACAATTTACAAGTTAAAGCATACTTTAGACCTACGGGAATGTTTTACTTTTATAGTCAACAATGCCTTCGTCCTTTAAAAATATCACTTTATAGGATTCTACCCTCTAAGGATATCATCTATCTCGAACTCCTATAATCCAGATTAGGATGAACTCTCCTAACAGTCTCATCTCTATTCAAACATAGAACCTCAATGTGTCTAGTACTCCTGCCCTCTATCCGAATATCTCACATTCCGATATGGTCGCACCATATCTCGGCGACTTGGTTCATCCATGTGGCATCTCGACTATAAACCTCAGGTACAAGGACAATCCTAAAAATATGTCCCCACATTAATGTACCTTTCTTGCAGTTGCTTATCACCTATGAATTTTAACTTTATATGTGCAATTGCAGTGACAATTAATTTGACAAACAAAACAAATCAAAGCATATGAACATGGAAGAAAGTTAGAGCACTTGCTGTGTTTACCACTTCATAGACAAGAACATATTCATTAATCCACGTGCTTGCTAGAATAGATTCTCTATTTATTCAATGGTAAAATCTAGGCCTAATAACTTTGATGTTATGGGTTTAAATCTCGAGACAACCACTTTGTGCACTGTGTTAAAGGTTAAGTATGTACTCAATTTTTTCCCTCCCAAACACACATTAATATGTACTATTTGGGCGTTGTTCTATTAATGTACCTTTCCTGCAATTGCTCATCATCGATTACTTCTAACTCTATATGTGCAATTGCAGTGACAATCAATTTGACAAACAAAACAAATCAAAGCATATGAACATGGAAGAAATGAAGCCTTATTTAGGTGCTTTAATGTTTCAGTCCATATCTGCAGGCATGTTTATATTGTCAAAGGCTGCCTTGAATAAGGGTATCAACAGTTTTGTGTTCATGTTCTATAGACAATTGGCTGGAACTATTGTCCTGGCGGCTATCATCATTTTCAAACGGCAAGATTTATATATATATATATATATATCATCTTCTCTGATTTTTCTATTTCTATATCTTTTTGTCTGTCGGTGTCCTTGTCCTGTGGGGTCGATTGCTTCATGAGCTCCCTCTTCTTTTTGTTGTTGTTCTTCTTCTTCTTTATGGACAGCTGATTTTAACATTGTCTTTTTTCTCCTTGGCATTTTTAGAGAGAGTGTGACACCAACCTCATTTGTGGCCTTGTGTAAAGTTTTCATGCTTTCACTAATTGGGTATGCTTATGCTTGATTTCAATTCTTCTTATTTTTTTTAAAATTTATTTATTGCAAGCCACATCTTCTTATATCTTATAATAATTTTGATACTGTAAATTAACAACTATATATATTGAGTAGTTGAGATTCTTCACTGTTTGTTTATACATTTCAGCATTACTTTAGGCTACAATATTTATGGCATCGCCCTTGTTTATACGTCTTCAAGTTTGGCTGCTGCTATTAATAATTGCCTCCAGACCATGACATTTTTCCTCGCTGTTTTGCTAAGGTCAGCTTCCTCTCTCTCTGTCTCTCTGTCTCTCTCTCTATATATATAGTTATTACTATTACTTTTCTCCCTCTTTGTTTTGCTTAATTTCTTAGTCAATTTTGCAATTAGGCATTATCCTAGAAAAGGAAAGAAAGTGAAACTCTGTTTCGACACCACTACTTATCTTAGTATACACCATTTGCCAACCATTTGATTGGTTCACCAACACAAATTGAAAATTCTAATTTTGTCTCAATACACACACAGAGAAGAAGAAGAAGAAGAAGAAGAAAAAGAAGAAGAAGAAGAGGATGATCATGGGAGGCGATACGGTGGTGTGTTGCAGTGGTGGCTGGTGGTGGGATGTTCTAAGAAATTAATTTAATTTTGAAAAAAAGAGCAATTGTTTTGAGGGAAAAAATTATAATAATAATAAAAAAATTAACAGATGGAAGGTACTGAGAAAATTAGCGGTGTAACTTGGTTATGATATTTTCTTAATGCCTTAAGAGTGATCAACTTCCCTGTTCATGAATTTTTTTGTTATTAATTTTTAAAATTGTGATTCAAAGGGGAGATGATTCACTCTAGTTGCGAACCCATTAAATTTATGTTCTATTCTGATTTCAACCATTTATCCATTTGGTATTTTATTTTCATGAAACTAGTTCATATGTATTTTGAGTTAATGGTGGGGGAATGGAATTGCAGGATGGAAAAGTTAAAGTTGAGGACAATAGGTGGAGTTGCAAAGGTTGCAGGTATCATGTTGTGCATGGGAGGTGTGGCAACCCTTGCTTTCTATAAGGGCCCCTATTTGAAACCATTTCTCCATAGTTATCACCCCTTTGATAGCAATAATAACAGCAGCCAACAAGGGCATGGTAACTCTCCTGGAGAAAATTGGATAAAGGGTTGTTTCCTCATGTTTCTTTCCAATCTTTGTTGGGCTCTCTGGATTGTTTATCAGGTTCATTGTTTTTTCTATTATTGATATAGATGCATACATATATATCATTCATTTGTTTCACTGAATAAATGAACCTTAATTTTGCTCTGATTTTTCTTTGGTACAAAATAGTTTTACTGGCATATGTAAAAATCATGTGAAACGTTTAGGACACATTTTGATAGATGTTGATTTCAAATTAAGGAATTTGGCCTTAATCATTCAAGACAAACTCATTTTTAGAAAAAAATAATTAGGTTTGGATCTTCTCCAAATCTTTCTATTATTGATATAGTTGCTACCTGTCTTCTTGCTGTTAACAGGTTTGGTAGTTGTTTGGAGAGGATCCAACCCATGATAATTAACTTTTGAATTTTAAGATTGAATTAAATAGTTTTAACAGGGTGGATTTGAAATAGCTATATAAAATTAGTTATTTGAAATCATACTAAAGATTCTCTTTCTAGTTATATATATCATACTTACATTTTTTTTTTTTTTTTATCAGCAAAAAAGGAAACTTTATTGATGAAATCAACATATAATATATACGAGAATATCAATAAAGCAAGGTCATAACAAAGAAAATCATAGCAAACTTCCAAAGACCAAGAAGAAAGTCTAATCATGTGCTAACTCAAGTGAAGAGAGTTGGTGAGGAACCAACAAAGAAAAAAACAGAGAAAACACCAAAGCCCAATAGGCAACATACAACAGAAACACTACAAAACAACAGATGGTCCTAACAGCAAGCCACGCTACTCTGTGCACAACCAATAAAGCAACCCATAGGATACTTCCCGCTGTGTGCTGCAATCAAATTAAGGGATAAATCTGATTTGTTGCAGGTTGGTAATAACCTCCTGTACAGTGTAGAAGCATTCCTTAGATTGAGCTTTTACCCAAAAAGCAATTCTAACCTTGCTCAACTCACAAATCTCCTCCAGCTGAGGCTGTTTCCCATTAAAGACCACATCATACTTAAATATATACACATACGTATTTATCTCTACTTATCTTCTTCCATTATTTTTCTATCCATTTAACCTCAAATCCCTTAATTTGAAATCCTTATCAATCCAAATGGACCCTTAGATTTGTATAAGAAAAATAATTAAGAGAATTACAATTAGGTGAGAACAATTGAAAATAATTACATTTTTATAGTGGTGGAAGTTCAAACAAGTGATTTTTGTTTCCCATGCCATATCTTCCATTTACACCAACCACTGGCTTAATTACGCCTCTATGAAAATTTAATTATTTAAATTAGTTCACCTTTAAATGCATGTTCCCAAATTTCAATTATTGATTGGTAATATCTAAAATTGGTTTAAAAAAAAAGGTGATTTTTCTAAAAAATGAAGCTCGTTTTGGTTTGATTTGGTTTTTAACTCTATTTTTTTTCAAATAAATAAACTCATAATTTTCATATGATTTTACTTTATTGGGAGGCAAAAATAAATTTCAAAAATTCAAATATATCTTTTTGGTGTTTGTTTTTGTCAAATTAATTTTCTATTTTAAAAAAAAAATTATTTCAAAAAACTTATTCTAAAAATGAAATCAAACATACCCGAAATAGTTTTCATTATATTACTTATCACTGGAATTGATCTTACTTACCATATGATGTGACCCTACTTGCCACTGAAACTAATATTATTTACCACGCAATATGACTATCTTCTTACTATTGGAATTGATTTTATTTACCACTAGAATTGACTCTACCTACGACATAATGTAACAATACTTACCATATATATATATATATATATATGTTACCCAAAACCACCATTTTTTGTATCATAGTTGAACCTCTTTTTACTCATATTGAACACATAAACTGTACTTTTTCTGTCCCTTATAATGTTTTTTTCTACATCATGTCCTCAGAAGTTATATTTGCATAACAAATTAGCCATTTGTTAGTCCACTATTAGTTGAGCTAACAATTTGTGTTCATATCAATAATATAGTTTTATAAAATACTCATCTACACTCATGTGCCAAAATCGACCAAACCTCCACTCACACTTTCTCTCTGTTTCGCCAAACAAAACCACAATTGTGGACCCATTTACCACTACATCTATCACTCACCCCTTTCTCTTTGCTTCACCAAACAACACCACAATCCTAGTGCCCGTTACCATGACATCTATCACTCACCCATTTTTCTCTTTCCTTCAATCCTAACCCACATCTCTTTCTAACTTTTAGTTGACCAGTTCTCTGTACGATCCTAGAAATGGCATTTTAGCGGGGGAGACAATGGGAAAGAGAGCTAGTGTGTTCATGGAACTCCTTAGCAACACATCTTACCCAATGTGTTCATAAGATTGAAGTTGTCTCCTCCCTTTATCTAAATGTATGTGGTACTTGATGTAGTCGTGGTTGATATTATGCTGTTAGTTGTGGTTGTTGGAGATTGTGGTGGTGTCAGGGTTGGGATCTGTGAATGTGTAGAGAGAATTTTTTGGTGTTGTGAATGGATCATTGGCAGCATCAATGATGGCCGACTATAGTACTTGTTGGCAAGGCAATCCTTGGAAGCTATTTTTGTCTCTTTAATATCTAATCTAATATCTAAAAGAGGATCATGAGCCCTGTTTTTTTATTTTTTAATTAGCGAAAGTCAGTGGTTAGTTGTTAAATTATTTGAAACTCATACCCATACACTTTGTAACAAAATCTTGTCTTCCTATTCAACTCCTAAGAGTGAACTCAAGACCTCCCCTTTAGAAGAGATTTGGTGGCCAAAGAGCCAGCTAACTAGGCTAGAGCCCCTTGGTAGAGAATCATGCACCCCTCCTGAATTGCTTTCAACTTGTTTGATATATGTTTCCATTACGTTCCTCTTTGCTTCTCTTTGAAATGACAAAAAGGGAGTTTAGCATTGGTAGGGGCTGTCAAATGAGGGTAGAGGTGCGAGGGGAGGGTGGAGGTGTTGACTGAGGTTCAGGAGGGGTGAGAGTGGCATAGAAGGAGAAAGGTAAGAAAGTTGACTGACAATAATGGATGGTGAGGATATCAACTGAGGGTAGGAATGAATGAGACTACACAAGAGGGATCTTGGTTGAGATTGAAGTTAGAGAAAAGCAGTAAGTGATAGGTGCAGTGGTGATGGGCACTACGATTGTGGTATTGTTTGATGAAGTAGAGAGAAAGGGAGTGAGTAGGGATTGTCTAGAGGTTTGGTCTGTTTGGGTGTATGAATAAAAGATTATTTTATAAAATTATATTGTTGAATCCAGCACAAGTTGTTAGGTTAGCTAACAATGCACTAACAGATGGGTTAATTGACGTTGGGGTGGTAGGGGAGGGCCAAGGTGTTGATGGAGGACTGGTTCTGCTCCCCCTATACCCTGCTCCTGATCGAGCCCAATTATATTTATTATTATTTATATGTATATAATATGTATAATTTTTTTTCAATATAACAAGAGTAAAGTACAAAAATATTACAATTAACATTTATTTTCATTCATTAATTTATTTCTCAACTTACATCTTTTATCTCTAATTTTTATCGGTATTCCTATTCTCACGGTGGCGAAGACCATGGTGACCCAGTACAACATCTCTCTCTCTCTCTTTTATTTTTTATGTGGCTACTTTTGTAATTGTAAGGTTGTGTGGAGGAAAGGGCTAGTGAATTAGAGTGGCAGAGGGGTAGGGTGTTTTAGGGATGGGTGGTGTAGAGTTGAGTGGCAGTTAATAATGGTTAGGAAGGGTGGAGGAATGAAGTGTTGGTTGATGATAGAGGAGTGTCAAAAATATTGGAATAAGGCAAAGAAGTAAAGTAATTTTATTTTGGTAATAAATGGTAATTACTTTTTGTTAATTCTATTAATAGAAAATTTCTGATAAGGGTAATTCAAAATCCAATCTCAGAGTTCATTGGAAAATGATGTTGAGCTATTTTTGTTCCATTGGGAGCTGAATTATTTTTTTAAGAGAATAGACTAATTGATTTTTTGAACAAAAACAGGCTCCAGTTTTGAAAGACTACCCTTCGAAGCTGCTCATCTTTACAAACCTCCAGTGCCTTTTCAGTGTAATTCAGACAGGTGTTGTTGCCATTGTTGCGGAAAGAGATCTTTCTAAATGGAAGCTAGGTTGGGATGCTAGACTTGTTGCAATTGTTTATAGTGTAAGCAAACAAAAAGCTCTTTTTTAATCTTCTTCCTTCAATATATTTGTTATTGTTTTGCTTTGTTGCCAACTAAATAAAGGAACAAAATACCAATGTGGTAAATTTGGAGCTCTTAATGTCATAATAACAATTAAATATTTCAATAGCCAATGAACAATCGCCAATGAGCAATCGAATGGGTAGCGCTATTGATACCCCATAATATTTGAACATTACATACATTAGTAATTTTGTATGTAATAAGTGTTCTGTTTGTCCAAACAGAAGAGTTCACATTTAAACTAAGCACACTGTGTTCAAACGATGAGTACTTGAAGAGCTATTACAAAAACACAAATCATTTTTATTCAAACTGATTAAAGTGGTTTCGAAAGTGAACATCATCATAGAAATAAACACATACTATACAAATGTACCAAGTCCACTAACTAGTCTATGAATTCTAAAGTTAAGCCCAATAGATAATTTAGCCTATCGAATAAAACTTAACAGTAACGTCCCAATTTTCACAAGATTAATTAGGTAGAAACTAATTAACGTAAGTGTAATTGATTAAGTAGAAAACCTATTTCTTATTTTCATTAAGCTCATGAATTTCCACTAATGACAATAAAGTAACAGAATAACAACAATGAAAGTTAATTTCAGCAATTAACTGTTTGATTTATAGACCCAAGTTTAATTACGTAACAAATAAAAAGGTCGTAGCCTCAAGTTAACATAGGTCTATAATATTCAGTCCCAAAAAGGTATTGCCTCTCCCCAAAATCAAGGCACTGACCCCCGACTTGTACTTGAAATATAGGGGGTGAGCAAAATAATAACGTGCTTATCAATATTTCAACTCTACATCATGTATATATTCTATGCTAAGTGTGTTAACAATTTACATCAATGTATAACTAATAAAGATGGTAGGGGAGTGTGCCTTAATCTCTCACCATGGGAGTAATCCTAGGGTAAAGGTGAAAGTGGTAGTTGGCCAAAGCGTGGAATGACCAAAGTACCCCTAATTCAAAGTATCTAACCCATGTCTTCATTTTCTATATAGCACTTTATTTATAGGTTTAGGCACTTTTTTTGTAGGTTTAGGAACATAAACATCTAAATTACACAACTCCTTGGGCATAGTTATAATACATGATTAACTAAACCTTTAACATTTAATTAATGTTAAATAAGTTTCAAAATAACCCGAACTATACATTATCGAACTATGGACATAAACTCAACAAAACCAACTGAAAAGAGTAACAAAGATACAAATTTTATATGATGCTAGTGCTAATGCATAAGTTTTACATTTCACACAAAAAACTATATATCGGTTTGTTCAAATTCGAGTCTCCAACTTCTATTTTCCTTTGGAATTGTTCAATACTCAACTAAGTCAAATATTATTAAAGAATATAACTTTTACATCTCCAAGCTTAACAACTTTTACACCTTCAATTTTTCTTCATCTTTTTCTTTCAATTTTGTGATGGCCAATGACAGGGATTCTTGACAAGCGCTGTTGGAACCAACTTACTAGCATGGTTGATTAAAAAGAAGGGGCCAGTTTTTCAAGCCATGTGGACTCCATTGAGTTTGGTCATTACAATCCTTTTCTCAACATTCCTCTTAGGCGAGGTCATTAGTTTGGGAAGGTAATTACTTTAATTTGTCTAATTAAACCCGACCCTTTAATAGGATTACAATGTTTGGTATGGTGTCAACTATTTTCCTTTTTTCTTTTTTTCTTCTTTTTTTTTGAATTTATAACTAATAGAAAATAGTGTCTCAGTTCATCTTCGTCTAAACTTGAATATTATTTCAAAATGAGGTTAGTACCAACTATTTTACAATATATCTATGAGCTAGCACTACAAGAAAATACACTGTTGGTGACTAATTTTTTAGTTGCCAAAAGTACGGTTTTTAGTTGCCAAAATACTTTCCCGGCCAAAAATTTTGGTTGCTAGCTTTGTCGCGGGTACATTGTCGGCGAAGGTATTGGCAACTAAAAAATTTTAGTAGTGAAAAGTCCTACAAAATAGCGACTAATGTTTTAGTAGGCAAAAATAAAATGTAATAGCGACAAAAAGTGGCTTAGTCGCTGATAAGGGACATTGGCGACTAACATATTAGACGCCCAAAGCATATTATTTTAATTTAACTCACATCTTCAGCTACTAAATCTTTTGTCGCGAAAACTTCAAATATCTACGGCGACCAAATTATTAGTCACCAATAGTGTTCTTTTAGCCAATAAATGTTTAGTTGCGGAAAAGTTGATTCTTGTTTAGCTACTACACAGGTTAGTCGCCTATGATTTTTAATTACGTTTTGGCGACTAAATATTTAGTCGCCAAAACTATTTTTTGTTTTAGCTACCAAACAATTAGTCGACAAAACTGTTTTCAATTCGTTTTGGTTACTAAATATTTAGTCGCCAAAAGATTTATTTCTTTTTGGCTACTATAGTAATGCTATACCAACATACTAAGTCTTTGAGTTGTTCCTATCATGTTATTATGGTGAGTCTAATTTCAAATACCAAAACTTTATTACTGTATGTCAGATCTAGGTGAGTAGGAGTAGTTTGTGATTTGTATAACATTTTTAAGTATTTACACTCAAAAGTCACATAGTTTTCACACATTGGCTAAACAATTTGAACATTTGTTTAAAAATAAATGGAAGAAGCATGGTGCCATGTAAATTGATACAACAAATTGTCAACAATAGTTGTAGTTTATGTTGTATTCTTCTTGGTTGGTGTTAATGCCTTGCATGATTACTACACTATACTTCCTCTTACTGGGATATTTTGATCTTTTAGTCTTTTTAACTTGTTCTAGCTTGATACTGCAACAAAATGTCCTTTCATTACCGTTTTCCAATCATATATCTCTTGTCATTTGTTTAACCATTTTTTCTCACCTTTTATTCTCTTTTGAATTTAGTGTTCTAGGCGGGACCTTATTGGTGGGAAGCCTCTACTGTGTATTATGGGGAAAGAGCAAAGAAGAAAAGGCAAATAGCTTGAACAATCAAGAAATTTTAAAAGTTGAAGTTGAGCAAAGCCGCTAGAAACAAGTAGTGATTATAGAAACTACACCACCATTACATTTGTAATATGCATGTTAATGTGGTTGCAAGATAAAGATCTATTTAAACTATATAGCAAACTGTGTGTATTTAATAAAACATGATTGGAAATAAAATTCTAAAACTAAATTCCATAATGTAAATTTTAATTCCCAAAATTCAAAAAAGAAATGTTTCTGAAAACGAAGAAAGGAAAGAAATTTCTTGTTCAAGTCTAAAACTAGAACCAGAACACACACTGAAATAATACAGAATTAATTTACTTACAAATTGTAATATTGAAATGCAGAAAGGAAAGACAACCGAGGTGTATGTTGGACACATTTTCCTTAAGATCGTTATGTCCTCGCTACGGTGGTCAAGAACAGACGACGCCGACCTCCCAGGATGCAACGACTATATCCTAGAATTGCAACACTACAATCTGGGTCTAGCGAACAGACTGAGTTGTACCTCTCTCTCTTTTACAAAAAATATAAGAACAGTATGTAGAAAAACAATATATGAGAAAAATGAAGAAAAACAAATCAAAGAATTGGTTGGAGGAGGTCTGTATTTATAGGCAATAAGGTGACTGCTCGGATGGGTTTGGAAGCCCTTTGAATAGGTGCGAATTTGAAAAAAAACTGTTGGAGTAAAGAGAGGTGATTAGAGAAGGAAGGGATGCCACTGTTCAGGTTTGAATTTGAAATTTGGCATAAGTGTTTGAATTTTTCTCGTTAGGAATTCAAATTTTCCCGCAAGAATTGTGGAAATAAAAAATTCAAACAAATTTTGTCCAAAAATTAAAGCTAGGACCCGACCCACAACCTGCACCCGCACCTGGCACAGCTCGACCGATCGATCGGACGGACGGCAATGGCGGTGCGCGCGCACGTGAGTGGTGCTTTTGGGCCAAGCCCACTTTGTCCATAACTCCCCTCTTTACAAAACTTGGGGTGCCCCTTGGGGCCTAACCCAAATGTGTCCACCTAGAGCTTATATACTCATACTAACTCTATTAAAGTTTCAATATGGGACAACCAATTTAAGGAAATCCACATTTGACTTTTCAACTTCCTATTTTACGAACTCGAAAATGACGTCAACTTCCCATTTACTTATAAATGAGTTTGACGAACCGTCTTTATTGTGTGACTTGTCACGTAGCAAAGAACATTTCACCTTTTTGGACCCACCCCAAAAGACGTGTGGGCCCCATTCAAATTTGGGCCAAAATAAGCTTATGAAAATCATAATTTCCAACAATCTCCCACATGAATGGAGTTGACGAAAACGGGCATGCAACAATATGCAAAAAATGCGAGAGGGTACATTAAAGAGATACCCTGCTTTGGGATAAGTTGTTTTTGGCTTTGAACCTCCCATAGTGAAAACCTATCAGACTTACTAACTGTCCAATGGATGTGATGCCTTGAATTGTTCAACCATTGGTGTAAGCCAAGACAATAGATAACACACAGAGTATTACCAAACGTAGTTTTGTTCTACGGTTGTGTTCATTTTGGCCTTAAACAATACCTGGTTCAATGAGTGCTCTAGAGAATTCAACTTTTTAATTCTCATCAAACTGGCCCAATTCACACTCACATAGGTAATTCTTATTAAGAATGCCCTGCCACACTCCACTTAGATAACCAAGATATAAGAATCATTAAAAGCAAAGCTTATCCTGACTACGCTGCAGGGATCAGTCTTCTTATCATAGAAAATTGGTAGGAGAGAGAACCTCTCTAGTGATCGGTGAATCTCCATAATTCAGTTGTCCCATTGAACCTAGTTCTTGGGATCTCTAGTCTTCTAGGTTGGGTTGCCATTATGGCGATTCTTTGTTAATAGGCTTTAATCTCATTTCCTTCTATAAACCCTTTCTTTTTAACTAACCCTTTCGTTAACGGATTCGCTATATTATCTTTAGACCTTATATAGTCAATGGTAATTATACTATTTGAGAGAAACTGCCTAACAGCATTATGTCGTCGACGAATATGTTGAGACTTTCCGTTATACATACGATTTTGTGCCCGTCCTATTGCTGCTTCACTGTCATAGTATATGCATATAGTTGGCACGAGCTTTGGCCACATTGGAATATCTTCTAGGAAATTTCGAAGTCATTCCGCTTCTTCTCCTATTTTATCTAAAGTTATAAATTCAGATTCCATTGTGGACCTTGCAAAGCAAGTCTGCTTGGAGGACTTCCAAGAGATTGTTACGCCTCCCAGAGTAAAGACATATCCGATAGTGGACTTTCAGTCATTGGTATCTGATATCCAATTTACATCACTGTACCCTTCAAGTATTGCTGGATATTTTGTATAATACAAATCATAATTTTGGGTATGTCTTAGATAGCTAAGCACCCTAATTATAGTTGTCCAATGATTCTTTTCTGGGTTGCTTGTGTATCTACTTAATTTGCTGACTGCAAAGGCTGTGAAGCCGTGTGCAATTCATTAAGTACATCAAGCTTCCAATGATTTGGGAGTATTCTACCTGTGATATGCTTTCTCCTGTATTATTTAATAAATGTGCATTAGCATCTATAGGAGTCTTAGCAGGACGGTTGTCATGCTTCCCAAATTTTCCCAGAATTTTCTCAACAGAGTGTGACTGAGATAAGGCATACCCATCAAATGTTTTAGAAATTTTCATTCCAAGTATGACCTCTGCTACTCCCATATCCTTCATGTCAAACCTTTTTTTTAACAATTTCTTGGTAGTCTTTATCATTTTGATATTGCTACCAATGATGAGCGTATCATCTACATAGAGACAAATGATGACATAACCTTTGTTGGTATTCTTGACATAGACACATTTGTCACACTCGTTTATTCTAAACCCATCCAAAATCATAGCATGATCAAGCTTCTCATGCTATTGTTTCAGTGCTTGCTTTAATCTATATAAGGATTTGATAAGTCTGCAAACCTTCTTCTCTTGGCTAGGAACTTTGAATCTTTCGAGTTGTTCCATGTAGATTTCTTCATTTAAATCTCCATTTAGAAATGCAGTCTTAACATCCATCTGATGTATTTCAAGATTATATAATGTTGCTATACAATCAACATGTGAATAGATATTATTCTTGTTATAGGGAAATATGTGTCAAAGTAGTCAAGACCTTCCTTTTGTCTATACCTTTTGATTATAAGGCAAGCTTCGTATTTATCAATTTACCCATCCGCTTTTATTTTTCTTTTGAAAATCCACTTGTATCCAAATGGTTTGCACCCTGGAGGAAGATCAACTAATTCCCAAGTATGGTTTTGTAGAGTGGACTCAACTTCGCCATTTATAGCCTATTTCCATAATTGTGCTTCAGGACTTGACATTGCTTCTTTAAAGCTTTGAGGTTCATTTTCTAACAGAAAAGTTAAAAAATCTGTGTCACGACCCAAACTCGCCCCTATGGGTTTAGCATCGTAACCGGCCAGTAATCCGTGATTACCGAAGGCCTGCTTGACAGTAATAACAATAATACAGAGCAAGAGGCTGGCGGAAGCCAAACAGTAATAAAAGAGGTCCAATGAGCTGTGAAAATCTGAATCCAAAAAGACTTTTATGAACAAGCCATATTCATAACCAAAACATATATACATACATCATATACACAAACATCCAAGTTAGGGACCAAATCCCTTCACCATAACTATACAGTCAAGTCTTATTCAGTCAATACAAAACAGAGACAAAAGGGTGAATTTGAAACACCCCAAAACTGCCTTAGCTTGGACGGACTCGGAACCTCGAAGTGAGGCGCGATGATTGGCTTGACGCAACAAAAACTTAGCTTGACGCTCCTAGCTTCGGTCCAGTGCCTGGACACCTATATATAAATATAAACAGTAAGCTAAAGCCCAGTGAATAACATATGCGTAAAGGGGTTAAGAATAAATGTCCTTTCATTAATTAAAGCAGTCATTTGCATCAATAAATCAGTTATTCAATCAGTGGCTCATATTTCATGACATATCAGTCATTTAGAAATCATAACAGTTATACGTGGTACGTCCAATAGCAAAACAGTACAGTAGGTCTTAATAGACCGAACAGTTAGTTGATGGCCATCAGAACAATAAACAGTAGTAGTTCCAAATATTGGAACTGACAGAGATCTCAGTAACAGTAGCAGTAACAGTACAGTAACAGTAAGTTGCTATGGATGCCATGAGTACAGTTTACAAATAAGACAAACATCCATTCAGTAAGTAATGTCATTTCAGAAAGCAGTACAGTCAATCGTTCATAAATAATTATAATTGAACGTATCTTTACAACATTGTTACTCACAGAGCATTGGGCTAAAGACAGGCTAGTCAGCGTCCTCGGGTGCCAACCCTACACAGTTGCAGAACGAACACCTACTAAGTTACACACTTGGGATTAATAACTTAGCCCTTTAACTTGACTCAGTGTGGTTCTATAACATTATCCTCATTAAGATGCCTTAAACTTGGCCTAGGAATGTCTAGGATGGAATGAGGATGCAAAAATGTACTTTAAAACACTTTTCAAAATTTGCTGAAAACAGGGGTCTCGCTCGAGCGTGGCTTTTTACGCTCGAGCGAGCTTACCAAAACAAAGGGGTTGCTCGAGCGTATACTCCCTCGCTCGAACGGTCTGTAAAAATGCAAAAGTACTGGTTGTTGAAATTCTCCGCTCGATGCTCGCTCGAGCGTGAGGCACAGTTCTTCGCTCGAGCGTAGGTATCGTCGCTCGAGCGTGCGTCTGCACATGCAAAGAACCTGAGAGCTTGCAATCTACGCTCGAGCCAGCATTTCGTCGCTCGAGCGGAGCCCTAAACACAAAGGTGGTTGCTCGAGCGTGGAATCATTCGCTCAAGCGTGGAAGCCAAAATCTGGGTTTTCCTGATTTGCTTCCAAAGCTCAAACCAAGAATTAAACTTATCAAAACTCACCCTCTTGGGCCAATTTTCTAGAAAATACTTGAAAACTCATACTACAACATGTTTTGAAGATCAATTTTGTAAAATCAAGCCCAAAGGTAAGACAATTGAAAACAATTTCAAAGAAACTTGAAGAACAATGCAAGAACATAACATGCATGAGTTCTTATGGATTCCAATGCTCCAAAACATGGTCAAATGCAATATTGAACTCTTAAACATGGTGAATTCATGGACTACAACCAAAATATGGACATGCACGTGGAAATTCTCATGTAAATGATCTCAAAACTCAATGATATGGACATGCATGCACACATTGCTCCTCAATTCAACCCTTTAGGCTATAACTTGACTCTAATCTGCAATATTTCCATGAACCATGCAAGAAACAACTCAAATTCATGTTCAAGAGGGTAAGTTTCCTACCTTAGGTCTTGAATTCCAAGTGTAGGAGCCTAATTTTGCAAATCTTCTTCAATTCTTCTAAGATTAAGCAAGACTCTTGTGAATTCAATTTCTTTCCTCTTACTCTCCTCTCATCCACGGTTTACTCAAGAAGATGGATAAAGAAATGATGTAAAAACAAGCTCGAAACAATGACTCTAAAGGTGGCCCACTCAATAGCACAAGTGTAATTACCTAGGTTCAATTAGTTTAACATTATTTAATCTAATTTAATCATTCCAAATCAAATTTTAATTAAACCTACCATAAAATCCTATAAATCCTAATTAGCATATAACATTAGTCAATTACTGAGTCGGTCGCCGACAAGGCTTTCAATTTGCAATTCGAAATTAAAACACGAACAAATCATTCAGTAATCAAACAGATAGGAATGCATTTAAAACAATACACTCATACAAACAGATTAGGAATTCATTCTAATCAATTACTTATCACGCTCGATCACCGTTTAACACTAATCAGAAGTGGGGGTTGTCACAATCTGGACCAAAAGACTTAGATGTCCTTAGTCTTTTTCCACGTCTAGGCTCATCTTCTTGTTGGTCTTTGCCACTTTCCATGGCGTCAGTAAAAGTTCATTTATTACAACTTGGCTCTTCTAATTCAGATGACTCGGCTTGTTCAGCCATTGTCTCTGTATCTATATGAATTTGATTTTCTTCATCCTTTTTCTAAGGCCTCGTTTGGAAAGGCTCTGTTTTAGCCAAAAAGTCAAAAGTTACTAAATTAGCCAAAAAACCAACAACCCATACAAAAAACTCAAAGATTCTCTTTTCTCTCTACTTTTTGCACATCTTTTCATAATTAGCCAAAAAGTCATCCCAAACATACTAGTTTTTTTTAGTTCATATTTTAGCCAAATAGTCAAAAAGTTACTAAATTAGCCTGTTCCCAAACGAGGCCTAAGGAAAGATATGTTCGAAAAAGAATGCATTTCTTGACTCGATAATAGTATTTGTGTGTATATCAGAAATACTTGATTTAACAACCAAAAATCGATATGCATTACTATTATTGGCATAGCCAATGAATACACAATCACCTGTTCTTGGTCCAATTTTAGTCTTTTTAGGACTAGGGACTGCCACCTTTGCCAAGCAGCCCCATACTTTTAAGCAATTATAAGAAGGTCGAAGACCTTTCTATAATTCATAAGGTGTTTGGTTAGTTTTCTTGTGGGGTATCCTCATTAGGATATAATTTGTTGATAAAATAGCCTCTCTCCGCAAGTTCTTAGGTAAACTCGAACTTATCAACATGGCATTCATCATCTCTTTAAGAGTGCAATTTTTCCTTTCAACCACTCTATTTGATGGATGAGGAAAGGAGCAGTGGTTTGGTGAATAACACTAAGTTCTGAGCAAAACTCATCAAATAGTGCATCATATTCATCGCCTCTATCACTTTTTACAACCTTAATCTTTTTTCCAAGTTGATTTTCAACTTCTACCTTGTATTGCTTAAATGTTTCTAAGGCCTCATCTTTACTTCACAATAAGTATACATAGGAATATCTAGTGCAATCATCAATAAAAGTTATATAGTACTTTTTACCACCTCCAGTTTGCACAAATTTTAAATCACCAATGTCGGTGTGAATTAAAGCTAGTGGTTCAGTACTTCTTTCAATTTTATTAAATAATACTCTAGTCATTTTAGCTTTAACACATACTTCACATTTATGATTAAGATCAAGATTAAATTTAGATAAACATTCTAGATTAACAAGTCTATGGAAAAAGCCATAATTTATATGTTCTAATCTACCATGTCATAAATGAGAAGAATCAACAATATAAACAAAAGATGTGTTTTTATTATTAGAAACAATAGTTGGTACAATCGTTAACACATTGAGCTTAAAAAGCCCATTAGTCATATACTACCCACGACCTACATACATTCCAGCCTTAGTAAGAACAACTTTTTCATATTCAAATACTAGCCTAAACCCGTTCTTAATCAACAATGACTCAGAAATTAAATTTTTACAAATTTCCGGAACATGGAGTACATTGTTGAGAGTTCCTTCCTTACCCGAGGTCATCTTTAGCACTATCTTCCCTTGTCCTTCTATAGTTGATGTGCAGGAGTTTCCCATGAACAATTGGTCGCCATTCTCCACCACTTTGTAGGTTGTGAACATTTGCCTATCGGCACAAATGTGGCGGGTTGCTCCAGTATCCACCCACCATTCTTTAGGGTTGCCCACCAAGTTAGCCTCATAGACTACTGCAGAAAGTTTGATGCCTGCCAATCCCTTAGAAAGATTATATCCCTTAGTTATGTTGGCTTGTGTCAGTTTCTTGCTAGAACTTGCTTCATATTTACGGTTTCGACAATCCTTTGCTCAACGTCCATCACCACCACACACATAGCACTTGCTTTTGAATCTTTTGTTGTTCTTGCCTTTTAAGCCTTGCTTGGACCCTTTGCCATCATGCTTTCTCTTTTTGTTGTTGAACCTCGAACTTTGTCCTTGTTCCATAACATTTGCCTTAGCCTGAATGACTTGGTTCCCAGACTTCTTCTCAGATTTCCGGTTGTCCTCTTCAATCCTCAGTCGCATGATAAATTCTTCCAACTTCTTTTCCTTGCATTTGTGTTTAAGGTAAATTTTGAAGTCTTTCCATGCTGGCGAAAGTTTTTCAATAATAGCAGCAACTTGAAATGATTCACTCAGAATCATTCCTTCGGAAATGATGTCATGTATGATCAAATGATTATCTTGGACTTGGCCAACCACCGTTTTGGAATCTAACATTTTAAAATCCAAAAAACGTTCGATAACAAATTTCTTTGCATCGGCATCTTCAGTTTTGTACTTTAATTTAAGAGATTCCCAAAGTTCTTTGGTCGTTTTCTTTACACAATATACATTGTATAAAGAATTATCAAGTCCATTTAGTATGTAATTTCCACACAAAAAGTCACCTTGCTTCCAGGCATTTTTGCAGCAACAAGTTGACGATCAGTGTCCTCCCCCTTTGTCTGTTTTGGAGCCTCCATACTGATGTACTAGGCCAAATGCAAAGTTGTAAGATAGCATAGCATTTTTTGCTACCATCTCTTAAACTCTGTTCCATTGAATTTTTTTCGATTTCTCTCCATGGTTTATTGGCACCATAGGAGTCATTGACAGTGGTACCGAGAATGATAGAGTCATGGTCGAACTAGTCTCAACACTATCCGTTGCCATTTTTTTTTCTTCTGAAAATCACAATTTCAGAAACGAAATAAATACACACAAAGCAAAACAAAAATAATAACGATCTTCAGCTGTAGGATAAAGATCTATTTAAACTAAACAGCAAACTATGTGCATTTAATAAAACATGATTGGAAAAAAAATCCTAAAACTAAATTCCAGAATGTAAATTTTAATTCCTAAAACTCAAAAAAGAAATTTCTTGTTCAAGTATAAAACTAGAATCAGAACACACACTGAAATAATACAGAATTAATTTACTTACAAATTGCAGTATTGAAATGCAAAAAGGAAAGATAGCCGATGCGTGTGTTGGACACACTTCCCTTAAGATTGTTACGTCCTCGCTATGGTGCTCGAGAACAGATGACGCCGACCTCCAAAGATACGACTATATCCTAGAATTGCAGCACTACAATCTGGGTCTGGCAAACAGACTGAGTTGTATCTCTCTCTTTTACCGAAAATATAAGAACAATATGCAGAAAAGAAATACAGAAGAAAAATGAAGAAAAACGAATCAAAGAATTGGTTGGAGAAGGCCTGTATTTATAGGCAATTAGGTGACTGTTCAGATGGGCTTGGAAGCCCTCAGAACAGGTGCGAATCTGAAAAAAAATTTGCCAGAGTGAAGAGAGGTGACCGGAGAAGGAAAAGATGCCACTGTTCAAGTTTGAATTTGAAATTTGGCACAAGTGTTTAAATTTTTCCCACAAGAATTGTGGAAATAAAAAAAAGAAATAACAGATTTGTCCAAAAATCCCGACCAGACCGATGGACGGTGGCAGCGCGCGTGTGGTGGTGTTGAGTCAAGCCCATTTTGTCCATAACTCCCCTCCTTACAAAATTTGGGATGCCCCTTGGGGCTTAACCCAAGTGTGTCCACCTAGAGCTGATATACTCACACTAGCTCTATTAAAGTTTCAATATGGGACAACCAATTTAAGGAAACCCACATTTGACTCTTTAATTTCTCATTTCACGAATCTGAAACGATGTTAACTTTCCACTCACTCATAAATGGTTTTGATGAACCGTAATCATTGTGTGACTTGCCACGCGACAAGGAATACATCAGCTTTTTGGACCTACCCTAAAAGATATGTGGCCCCACTCAAATTTGGGCTTAAAGGTAGTCCAAAAAAACTTATGAAAACCATAATTTCCAACAGTGGTTTTAGTTCTACTTTTGCTTGAGGGTTCATTGGAATATTAGTTACATAGAGACCGTGAAAAAAGAATTATTACAGTTGTTTATGGCATGAGTAAATGGCATTTTATCCTTTGAATTATTTCTCAAAAAATAATTTGACGCTTGTCCTTTTAATTATATCAATTTACACTTAAACTATTTCCATTGAGATCAATATGACCCTTGTTGTCATTTATCGTCTATAATCAAACATAATCCCTTCATATTACCCCAAAACTACCCCTTAAAATTTAATTAGACCCCTATAGAAGGTTTTTTTTTTTTTGGGGGGGGGGGGGGTTTCCTTATTACCCTATAGAAGGATTGTTGGGGGAGTAAAATGAAGATTTCGTCTAATCGTAGTCTGCAGGTAACATCATGGGTTAAATTAATGGACATCAGAATAGTGCAGGTATAAAATTGATTTAATTCAAAGGAAAGGGTCAAATTATTTTTCTAGGGATAGTTTGAAGGGGAAAAAAATGAAATTTACTCTTGTTTAATTCCATATTAGTCTCTCAAGTGCTTGAATTTTCTTAATTTTACATTGGGCAATAATAAATAATAGAAAAGGCTACGTAAATTTATAAAATTTATGAACTTTTTTTTTATTATTTTTTTATTTTTTATAGATATGTTGTACAGTAATAAAATTATAAAATTTGAAACAAAATCCATCAATATATATAATATAATATAATAGGTACTGCCCATGCGAGCACATGACATCTTTTGTTTCAAATTTATGTATTCCCTTGTATCAAAATAGTAATAGTCGTTGGATCATGTCTCAAGATTTCGTACCTCAAAATATTAACAGATGGAATATTTTGAGACACGGAGGCAGGGAGATTTAGGGATGGAGGATTCTTAACTCTCATATGAGAACAAAAGGTTTATAAAATTTTGGAAAAATAAAAAAATAAACCTAGAGTTTGACTATTGTAACAAAATAAACCCAAAGTTTTTTTATTTTGTCAATTTGAATCATAATATTTGATTTGTTTTCAATCAATAATTTGCCTATTTTTGTTACGTAAAACCAACAAAAAAAAAGTATTTTAGCCATTAAGCTCAATGTAGTTGTGCTTAAAATATCTAAAATATCATTTTTTATTAAGTTTAATGACTAAAATATTATTTTTATGTTAGTTCTACTTAACAAAAATAGGTAAATAGTTTAGATTGAAAATAAATTTAAAAAATTAGGATTTAAATTGATAAAATTAAAAAATTAGGATTTATTTTATTATAATAGTCAAACTTGTTTTTGTTTTTGTTTTTGTTTTTGACCTAAAATTTTCTATTGGCCAAGTATATTTTTTATTTTATTTTATTATATGTTAGGTAGCTTTGAAGCTTCAAATATAGTAATTCAAAACAAATCATTCAGGAATTTATTACTTTGCATTGTGGTTATTCGATCTTGTTAGCCTCCACCAAGACATTTGGTATCTACAACAATTTGTTTCTCGTTTGTTAATTGAAAAGGAGGGTTTACTATTGAGGAGACAAAGAAATGTGGGTTACTATAATTTGGTTCTTGGAATAATTACATAGTGAGCAGTATATGATCATATTCTAGTATTGTATTTTTGGTTGTCCACAACTTATTCTATTGTCCATGACAATTTTGAAGAACATCTAAATTTAAGAAAAAAAATCCTTTTACCTTCAAGTGATAATGGTCATGTGCACAAAATATAAAATATACCAATTTCACATACCATACTTTTACCGAAATTAATTTTCAATTATGATAAAACAAGGTAAATATCTTTGGTTGCTTAAGTCGTATGCAAAACCAAGAAAAAGATAAATACATTTGTCAAAACTCATTTTTGTATCTCAAAAAAGTATTTGATAACCACTTACGTTGTGTTTGGTTGGGGGATTTAGGGAGGGATTTGGAAAGGGAAAGGAAAAATATATATGAAATTAGGTGAAATATAGGTATATTTTATACATATTTCACCTACCTTTCCATTTTCCTTTACAAATCATTCCTCAAATTCCTTAACTAAACACAGTATTAATGTTTATATTTAGACGATTTGTCTCATTGATACTAACTAATCGAATTGGCTCATATCTATCCTTGCATAAAAATAAATTTGTTTACACACTTTTGATGTGTAAACAAAATATCATTAATGATTAGTGGAGAATGTGGGCCACCTATACCAAGAAGCTCACTTTTGTATGTCAAAAAAGTATTTGACAATCTCTCATTATTTATATTTAGACGATTTGTCTCGTTAATACTAACTTGGATCGAATTGACTCATATCTACCTTTGCATGAAAACAAATTTATTCACACACTCTTGATATGTGTGAACAAAACACCGTTTATAATTGGTAGAGAATGTGGACTATCTATACCAAAAAGTGTATTAATTCCATGGGACCCACCACTCTTCACCATTAAAAAAATATGTTTTGTTCACACATTTTAAGAATATTAGTGATTGGACACTTACGTTGCACGTGACACGCAATTTTTTTTATTAATTATTAATACTGTAATTATGCGTATCTCTTAAATTAGTATATGATATGTATGCAAAGTATAGAGACTTATGTGAGTAAATTGATCTGTATCCAAAATATAATTAAGCAAGAAATGAATACATACTCGATTAAAGAATTTAAATAATAAATGGAAAATTTTATAAACATAAATATTAATTTATAGTTAGATTGTTGAGATCATAATATTATCTTAAACAATAAACAATAAACAGGTCTTTTAAATATACAATATTACACTTTTTTTTTTCTTCTTTTTTTCACACTTCAATTTTTCATAATCCGTACATATAATACAGTTGAATGTATGAAATTAATTGCGCAATTACACAATTTTGTTTAATAGTTCATTTCATAATACAAATGCATTGAACTCACTATTGCATATTATTGGTGTAAGAATACATTAATATCAATATATAATATATTTTTATATATCAAGAGTTGTTGAATCTCGTTTCCTGTGTCACGAATATTCTGCATGATGAAAAATATAATATTAGTTATTATATATTTTTGTTTATGTAGAAAGTGAAGAATAATTTTTGTTGGAAATGGTTATAAATTTTGGGTAAAACCAGAATTTTATCCTAAGTTCGGTCTATTTTTTAGGTGGGCCCCGTGCGTCGTTTTTCACGGGTCAAAGTGGTAACGCGTTCTATGCCGCGTTGTGATTCACGTGGTATATTTGGTTGCGTTGCTCAAAACCATTATCGGGTGAATGGGAAATTGAAGCCAAAGTGAGCTCCACGGAAATGGAGTTTTGGTGGAAATTCCTTAAGGTTGGAAAATAGCTTGTCCCACATTGATTTGGTGGGAGGTTTTGAAAGGGTTTATAAGGCTTGGGTTTGGTATTTGGGGTGTGCCCCAAGGGGTACCCAAGTGTTTTAGAGGGAGAGGTTATGGGCAAAATGGGCTAGACCAATTGGAACCAAAAATCACTACACGCGCGCGCCGCCGTCCGGTCAGGCTAGCCTGGGCTTCGGCGGGGGTGCGTGGTGCGTGGTTGGGTTGGACTAATACTAATCTTTTTGGGCCAAAAATATTTGAATTTAATTTTATTTTTTGGTAAAATAAA